GCCTTAGCTGCTTGAGCCACAGGCGCTGAGCCTCTTTGAGCTTTTTGACACTGAGATAATCATGGGCTCCAAGAGTAAAGGAAGATTCAGAGTATTAGGGATTGATTCATGCTTTATTTATTTATTTATTTATTTGGAAACAGAATCTTAAGCTGTCCCCTTGGGTAGAGTGCCGTGGCATCACTTCTCACAGCAACCTCAAACTCTTGGGCTTAAATGATTCTCTTGCTTCAGCCTCCTAAGTAGCTAGGACTGCCACAACGCCCAGCTATTTTTTGGTTGCAGCCATCATTATTGTTTTGGCAGGCCCGGGCTGGATTCCAGCTCAGGTGTATGTGGCTGGCGCCTTAGCTACTTGAGCCACAGGCTCTGAGCCATCCCAGCTATTTGTTGTTGTTGTTGCAGTCATCATTGTTGTTTTAGCTGGCCTGGGCTGAATTTGAACCCACCAGCCTCAGTGTATTTGGCTAGCATCCTACCCACTGAGCAACAGGCACTGCCCTGATTCATGCTTTAGTTTATTTATTTTTAGAGACAATGTCTTGCTCTGTCACTCACTGAAGCATAGTGGCTTGATTATAACTCACTGCAGCCTTGAACTCCTGGGCTCAAGCAACCACGCCCAGCCAATGTCTATTACTTACAGCTGATTAAATGTGGGGTTAATGATAATAATATATAAAATGTCCCTTTGTCATCAGGAACCCTTTCTACAATTTTGAATCTGATTTTTCCTTAGGAAAAAATGCAAAGCTCATAGCATGTTAGAACTAGTAGGATCTAAGCAATTACCTAGTTCAACTCCTTGACTTCACAGATGAGTAAATGAGATCTGAGCTCTGATTTCATCTCTTAGGATACTATCTTTAAGAGGGGAGAGAATCTGGCTAGTATATGCTTCATTCATGAAGTCTCTTACTAAAAAGGCTAAGAAGACTCTGATTTCTGTAATAGAATGTGATTGAGACTGGGCAAAGTCTGAAGGAATATTTGTGATTCTTCTAGGAAAACCTCAAACGCACTCTGGGGGGGAGACACCTTTGCTGTCTTCAGGCAGCCAGTCTTCAAAACCAGAAACCCAGCCTAGGAAATCATCACAACCAGAGGCTTGTGCATATCCTCAAGAAAAGCCACTCAGGAATCTGACTCACCCATCTGAGGAAGAGATAGAGGATGATGGACTCTTTATTCCAATGGGTAGGCTTTCTTTTTCTTTTTTTAATTAAAAATCCCTCTTTATTGTAGTATAATATGTAAAAAGCTGTACATATCCTAAGATATCTTGAGTTCACTGAATTTTCATAAATTGAATATACCAATGCAACCAGCAACCAGACCAAGAAACAGAATATTATCTATACCCAGAAGCCAAAAGGGTTTGGCTTTGTGCCAGTTACTGCCGCCCACCTGTAGTTAACCACTGTCCTGACAACTAACAACACATACTCGCTCACTTTCTCTCTCTCTCTTTCTCTTTTTTTTTAGAGACAGAGTCTCACTTTGTCACCCTGGGTAGTGTGCTGTGGCATCACAGCTCACAGCAACATCCAGCTCTTGGGCTTAGGTGATTTTCTTGCCTCAGCCTCCAGAGTAGCTGGGATTACAGGTGCCTGCCACAACACCTGGCTATTTTCTTGTTGCAGTTTGGCCAAGGCCAGGTTTGAACCCACCACCCTCGGTATATGGGGCTGGCGACCTGCTCACTGAGCCACAGGCGCTACTCATCTCTGTCTTTTTTTTTTAATTGGAGATAGGCATGCACATATATATACATTTACTAATGTATATGTAGTGTTAATAAAAAAGACCCAAACTCTGTAAAATCGCATAAAGAGGTTTATTCTGAGCTGAAATATGTGTTAGTAAGAGTTAAGACTAGCCTGAGGAAGAGTGAGACCCTACCTCTACTAAAAAAATAATAGAAAAATTGTCTTGGTATAGGTTGTGGTGGGTGCCTATAGTCCCAGATACTTGGCAGCCTGAGGCAGGCAGATCGCTGGAACCCAAGAATTTGAGGTTGCTGGCTCGGCGCCT